AAACCTCCTCTTAATAGTCTTTAACATCTTAAAGGAAGTGTAAAACCTCATTCTCATTATCATCCATCATTGCTATAACATTGTAAATTAATGCAAACAACACATCAACACTTTTAATAGCAACCATTCAACACTATGTGACCTCTAATACTACAAGTTTTACCACAATTAATATCAATACTTCATTTTCTTCAATTAAATATAACTCATAAAACATAAATAGCAATAATTTCATGTATAATGAATTCAAGGCAATAAATAAAATTAATGAGTTCAACTACACTTGCCATCAACAAATTATATGTCTTAAAGCCTTAATTTCAGGTTCCATTAAAATCTACAAACCCTAGCATAATCTCTAAAGTCATGGGAGGTTCTTTCTTACTTTTTTTTTTTTAAATTCCCCTACCAAATCCTTTGTCTTTATTTTCTTCAATAATACTACCCTCACTAACCCCTCTCACTAACCCCATGTGGGTGTTTGTGATTGGCTTAGTGAGGCAGGATCCATTATTGGACAGGCGGGACCCATGTGAACTGATGAATTGTGAGTTGACACGTGGCATTAGTGAGAGAAAGTTAGTAAGAAGTGTTAGTGATTGTAGTGTTACTCTATTTTCTTTTACATCTTAATCCTACATATATAACATTATACCTTAACATCTACCTCGAATCTTCAAATCACATCAAAACTAGCGTTTTCAATCCTTACTTTAAACCCTTCAATTTGAAGATCCAAGGCTCCTATCTTATTCTCTTTAAAAAAATTATGTAAAACTCTTATAAAACTTAGAAAGAGAAAGCTTGTTTCATGAAGGATTTAAGAGAAAATGGAAGAAAGATTAAAGAAATTATGTCTCCTATTGGCTTGAACGAATTTTCCTATCATTTATAGGAAAATATTTCATTAATTTTTCAAAATTATGCTACTGGCCCAATTATTTTAATTTTATAACTCATAAGTCCTTAATTCTTCGTATAAAGGTATTTTGGTCATTTGGTTCTAAACATAATTATTACTTAATACCTTTAAATGCAATTAAGCCTACTCATCCTTAACTTTTGCAATGCTTATCCATAGGCAAAATGACTATTTTGCCCTTAATACTCTTTTATGGATAATTGATTCATACTAGGGTGGGCACGGGTAGCGGGTAGAACCGGAACTGGAACCGGAACCGGAACCGCACTGTACGTGTAGGTTCCGATTCCATTTTATTGGAACCGATATTGTGCAGTTCCGATTCCGATGTAGAGGATCAGGAACCAAAACCAAAACCTAGGAAAGGAATCAGAAGCGGGTACCCGGTTTGGAGTTGACCATTTTGGGATAGTGTTAAATCTGTTGCTGCTTTGTTTACACTAGTTGTTCTCTCATTCTTCTTTTTCTTATTTCAATAATTGCTTGTGTTTTGATTTTAATTGAAAAATTTTATGTGAATTGTGATGAATTGATTGAATTCAAGTATTGTCTAAAGATTAGAGGATTTATGAGTCACATTGAACACAAATGAATGAGTAATCAAAAGTTGAAAACTACTAAATGTAGGTTTTCTTAATTTGTTAGGGATGCATTTGTAAACTTTTAAGGTATTTTTCTTATTTTTTAATGCAGGTTCCAATTCCTTATATTTAAGAACCAGAACCGACAGGTTCTAATTCCAGGTTCTTATTTTGGGAAGTTGCACTGTGCAATTCCGCTTCCAATTTTCCTGAAAAATGAAAGGTAACCGAAACTGCTCAACCCTAAGCATGGGTAACAAGTAGAACCGAAACCTGCGGGTAGAATCAGAACCGGAATCTACACTGTGCGGATAGGTTCCGATTCCATTCTATTGGAACCGACATTGTGCAGTTTTGATTCTAGTTCCTACAGGTTTTGAAACCGGAACCAAAACTTAGGAAAAGAACCTGAAGCGAGTACCCGGCTTGGAACCTATTTGGAACCTGTTTGTGTTTTGGTTTTGATTAAGAAATTTTATATGAATTGTAATGAATTTATTGAATTCAAGTGTTGTCTAGAGATTAGAGGATTTATGAGTCACATTAGACACAAATGAATGAGTAATCAAAAGTTAAAAACTACTAAATAAAGGTTTTCTTAATTTGTTAGGGGTGTATTTGTAAGCTTTTAAGGTATTTTTGTCATTTTTAAACTAATAGGGGCGTAATTGATTTTTTAAAAGGTACCCAAGTAAGGAACCGAAACCTACATTTCAAGTTCCAGTTCCCTGAATTTAAGAATCAGAACCGATACGTTCCGATTCTGGTTCCTTTTTTTTTGGAACCTGCACCGGCGGTTCCAGTTTCGATTCCCCCAAAACATGCAAGGTACCCGAAACCGTTCACCCCTAATTCATACCATTCCAAATGACTATTTTGAGTTTGGAACATACCTTTGACATCTTAGGTATTACATTTCCTCCCCCCTTACAATAATTTCGTCCCCAAAATTATATCTTGCCACCTTCGGCTCAAGGGCTTTCCCCACGCGCCGAACATGTCCAAGGTATTGTCCGCTATGGATCCTTCTGGCCACGCCTCTTTTGGACCCCCACAGCTTTGTTCTGCTCCGTGGTCTCTCCACCTTGCAAACACCTCCCTCATGACTTGAACCTTATACCTTAGCCAAGTATATATATACTGTGAGTAACGGGTAAAACAGGTACAGGTCCACGAGTCATTTTTTTTTCATGGGTAGGAAAATACATGACCCGTACCCGCCCGTACGGGTACAGGTCTACCCATGGGTCACCCATTTCCCACATATATTTTCACATTTTATTTTATCTTTTTTCAAATAAAAGTAACCATCTCTAGACCTGGCAAAAAGGTACCCCGTACTCGCGGGTCAACGAGCACCGGCATCAAATGGGCAAGAACGTGTACCTCTAAAATTTACCCGTATAAAAGTTGCCCGTGCCCGGCTCGTTTTCCAGAACATAACTTGGAATAAGGAGATAGAAAAGCTCGAATAAGCAAGGAAGAAGATATTGCAAATAAGGAGATAGCAAAGGCTTTAACACTCGATGTGAGTAGTTAATGTTGTAGTTGCTGGAAATTTTAATTGGGAAGAAGAAAAGTTGGAAATTTTAATTGGAAAGAGGAAAGAGAAGATGAAATGATAATTGAGAAGAGGAAAGAGAAGATGGAAATTTATTGGGAAGAGGAAAGAGGAGATGGAAATTTAATGGGATGAGAAAAGAGAATATGGAAGGTCTCGTGCAGAGAGGGTGATGGAGATGGGTTACTTTAATTTGAAAAAAGATAAAATAAAATGTGAAAATATGTGGGAAACGGGTGACCCGCGGGTCGACCCGTACTCGTACGGGCAGGTACGAGCCATGCATTTTCCTACCCGTTAAAAAAATTACTCGTACCCATTACCCGCAACTACCCGACCCGTCAGTTTGCCAGGTCTACGCATCTCCATCACCCTTTCTGCACAAGACCCTCCATCTTCTCTTTCCTCTTCCCAATAAATTTCCATCTTCTCTTTCCTCTTCCCAATTAAAATTTTCAACAACTACAAATCAAATACTCACACCGAGTGTTAAAGTCTTTGTTATCTCCTTATTTGCAATAGCTTTCTTCCTTGCTTGTTCAAGCTTTTCTATCTCCTTACTCCAAGTTATGTTCTTCCTTTCGTGTTGCATTGAGTAATGCAAGCGTTGAATCTGCTTTCAAAGTTCCACAAAGTTATTACAACTCAAATATTGTTATTGAACCTTAACTTAAGTTTTCGAGATCATGGATACTTCAGTACAATCTTGAAGCATTTATATTTCACCGCCAAGTCATGTTTTTGGTTCCAGTGAAAAATACAAATTCCAAACCTTTAATCTTACATGTGCACTGAAGTCTTCTGTTGCTTCTGATAAAAACGAATCAATAAAGAGACGAAACCTAACAATAACAATAAAGGCAGCTAACAAAGTCACTGGGTTGTTTGAGAGAAACAGAAAATGGAGGTCTACCTGAGAGCCCAGATGAACGGCGCTTTAAAGAGGATCCTAGAAGCGTGAGAGAGATGGCTGCCTGAAGAAGAAATGGCGACTTGAGAGATGGCTGCGTGAAAGAGAAATGGCGATTGGAGAAATGGCCAAATGAGCGTGAGAGAGATGGCTATGTGAGAGTCTAAGAGAGATGGTGTGAAATTATGAGAGATTGAGAGAAATGGCGTTAGTCTGTGACTGTGAGAGAGATGGTGAAAATGGAATTGGGTTTGGGTGTTTGGTTAATTGAATTAGGGTTTTAATTTTTTAATGATTTTTTTAAATAAAATGCAAGTACCCGCAGGCATTACCCGACCCACCCGCATTTTTTACGGGCGGGCCAGGTACGGATAACTTTTATACGAGTAAATTTTAGAGGTACCAGTTGATGCAAGTACCTGTTGACCCACGGGTACGAGTACCTTTTTGCCAAGTCTATATATATATATATATATATGGTCCTGACCAAATTTACATCAAGATGTCCTGACTACATATATATATATATATACACCACCGAAAAACAAAATCTACCTTTTTCCATGTAATTCAAAAATCCTAAAAGAAATTATAAACAGAACACATTTTTCTTCTTTGTTGGTCAATTGCTTTCAGTTCAGTTATTGACAAATAAGCCTCTTATTAGGCCCAACTCAAAAGTTGACTCATCCTTCATATTAACTGCTTCAATAATCTCTATCAAAGCCAACTTCAAGCCCTTTTGTGCCTAATTTTAATTTCTCTTCGACTAAAAAGATTAACAAGCTGAATTCTATCTATTTTCTTTCCAAACTGCAGCCTATCCAGGCTTTGTCGCTTTTCTATGTAACATGATTAAACAGTAGCAGATTTATAGAACTTGCAAAAACAAATATTGGCATAGACCATCAATCTTTTCAACAAAAAAATTATGCATTAAGAGTGACAATACTGCAAGCATTTCATGGAATGTTTAGGAACACAGAAGAGCCTAAAAATTGGATTTATCTGGAATCTGTGCTAGTAAATCTTATTTTCCTTGATGTAGAAACAACTCATCAGTTTCTGTATATATTTTGCCAAAATTGAATGGTTTTTGAGCTTCTTGTGGATAACTGGTCCACTTCGTACTTGTAACTCCTTAACATTTTCATTAGTATATTCTCAGCATAAAAAAGAAATTAAAAAAAAAAAAAAAAAAATGAAACCATCAGTTAGGATTAAACCTAGCGAATATGCTGAGATAAAAAGACTCAAAAAAATACCTCAGGAGCCATCCAGTATGGTGTTCCAACAACTGAATGCGTGTTAACATCAGCCTCAGTTAGCTTTGTGGCAACACCAAAATCAGCAAGCTTCACAAGACCCTAAAAGTAAAAACCAGGTCAAGTATTTCCTAAGCCAATCTCAAACATGCTGAAGCATTAATGAACAGATAACAACATTAAGACCATAAGACTTCAATAAAACTGCAGAAGCAGCAAAGATATATTAGGTACAAGATACTGAACATTTAACTTACGTAAGATTTTAAACTTTATAGACTTCAAGGCCAAATAAAATGGTGCAGGTAAAATAAATTGATGAAAAAAGACTTCCATTGCCTTTGTATTAGTCTAACCAAGAATATATCCTAGCAAACAATCAACGTTATGCATCATTAATAAAGCAGATCAAATATCAGGTAATCATATTACCACAAATCAATATCACATCTGATATTAGAAAAGTGCTACAAATCATGGAGTTTTTTCAAACAAAAATAAACAAATAAAGATACTAAAAATTTATGCAACCACAGTCAGTCCTATCAAAGCCACCATACTGGAAAAGATAAAGATAGCAAACTTCTGGTGCTAGGAGTAGTGATTAGCAATAGGAAATGGAAAGACCTACAGCATAGATTACTATATCAAACAGTAAGTTATGGAGATTCAGCACAATTTGTTGGTAAACAAAATGCTCTTAAAAAAAATACATCAAGGAAAAAGACAGGAAGAAAGCAAGACATAAGTCACCTCTTTGGTTGTCAATATGTTAGCACCCTTGATATCTCTATGAATAACACCTTGTTCATGAAGATAAACCAAGCCTTCCAAGACCTGTGTCATAATTAATATTACCAGACTGATGAAACTTTAACCCCAATCAATAGAAATAAATTGCACTAGAGCTAACCTGGGCAATGTAAACAGCCACCAAAGATTCTGGAAAAGGCCCAAATTTATTTGGCTTAATAATATTTGCAAGAGAGCCATTCTCCACATACCTGCAACAAATGAAAACTACCACATAAGCTTTTCTAGACAGGTTCTCATAATGCTACGCTTAAGATTTTTTTCAACAAAAAAGTCACTTACTCAAGAATTATGTGAAGATGAGTCTTTGTCTTCAATGACCCAAGATATTTCACAATATTTTTGTGGTTCAGATTCTGTAAGAGAAGGAAGATATTTGAATATCATGAACAAAAAATTCCCAGAATTTCATGACATCCCTTTTTTTATTTTATAAGAAACTATGATTTCGCCCCTTTTCATTTTTTATAAGAAACCAGAAGTTCAGCATATCCCATTGAAAACATCCTTTAAGACTTAATACTAAATACTGGCAAAAATATGTCAAACTATAGCAAGAAAAAAATTGAAAAAACAAATTCCAGTGGATAAGTATAGAGATAAAGCTACCTTCAATAAATCAATCTCTTGCTGTATGTCAATGAATTCCGCAAAGAAACAGCATAAACAGGAAAAAGCAACACATCAGCCAACTTACACAGTGGAGACCAGAAAAAAAATATAATACAGAAATGTTCCTATTAATTCAAAAAAAATTACCAACAAAAAAAATGAAGTAAAAGTTATGCCAGAAATTATGACTCTTTGGGAACTGAATGAGAACTGATATGAAGATAAGATAATTCTTTTAAGACACACAATAATAATATTTCCATATTTTCTCAAAACACGAATGCACTCACGAAATATTAGAACCCAATTCTAACAGTCAATAATTGAGTGAAATTTGAATTTCTTAAGCAGGTCCTCGGGATGGGACATGATAATCGCATGAAAGAACTCTTTAGTTTCAAGTGGCCTTGATAGTAAGCTTGTAAGTTTTTACTCAAACCTTCCACCACATATCCAAGAAACAAATTCATCTGCAAACAGAAACACACACACACACTAAAAAAAAAACCCTTAAAGTGCAATGATATTTCTTACTCTGTATCATTATTAGCATATAAGTTATACTGCTTATATTAAACAAATAAGCAACTAAAAGAATATATATAAGCAAACACCCAACTCAATTACAGGATAGACATTGCAATGTAAACTTTTTACACTTTGAACTAGGTTTTCAACCAGCTAAAGTTTTCCATAATCATAGCTATTCTAGCAATGCCTGACGCATTTAAACAGCTAATTTGCATTCCACTGGTTCCATATCCGAGAGGTAAAATTTGAATGTTAGTATTATACGCAGAGAGAAACCAGCAAAAATAAAATGACACTAATGTCTGATAGGTCACCATCCATCACACAAAATTTACAAGAAGAGAAGAAGAGGGGAGGGGGGGGTAGGCTATATGAGTGAAAGGAAGTTTGTTAGGGGAAAAGCCACGTTGCACACCAGTTAAAGAATAGAGTAGGGTCAGTTGAATATAAGTAGTGGACAGAGTCTGTAAAAGGGAGAGGATGGTTTTAGTGGGAATTGGTCTTGGAGGTTCCTAGCTCCTCAAAATGCTAGTGCTATCTTTTACATTTCCTATTGCATATTTTTCATACTTTTTCATGAATAGAGTGTCAATCCTTTGTCAGTTCAGTTCAATATAGTACAGACGTATCTCATTCATCTTGTTGTGATTCTTTCGGCTGATTAACTGTGAGGAATTGTGGCTAGTTTTTCTGGGTTCTTATCAATGTATGTCTACGACATTTGTAAACATTAAAAGAAGCAGTTATTTCTTGACAGGATGACTATGCCTTTAAACTGAATGAACCTAAAACTGAAACACACTAAACATTCTGTACGTAGATTAGTAGCATTACCAGGTTGCCTCCTTAAATAATTCATTACAAAGTTTTTTGCTAATATAAAATTTAAGATAATAACTAAAGAATAATGATTCTACATATCACTGTCTTCAAAAAGCATCAATTTGAAAAACAATAAAGAAGATGATGATGAAAAAAAGGTTTGAAGGAATTGAACTAAATACAAAGAAATAAGGAACCAAACCATGATTATATTAAGATCCTCTTGAGCTATATTCTCCAAAGAAACTTGTTTAATTGCAACGAAGTCACCATTCTCCAAATCCAAGCCTTTGTACACACGACCATAAGCACCTTTTCCAATTTCATCTCCAAGCATCTAGACCAAAAACAAATTAAAAAGAAAAAAAGAAAAATGGAAGTCTCATAGTCAAATAGCACTCCATTTTGGTTTCGTAAAACTTTAGTTATTCACTATTTGGAAAAGCAAAAAAAAAAAAAATATATATATATATATATAAGCCTCCTCTCATTCAAGTCCAGTACAACTGAATTCTAAGTCAAATTCTTTAAATTTTTTGAAGAACCTACTGTTTAAGAATTCATTTGAAATCAAAGAAGCGCACTGAAAATATATAACCAGAAAACAACTGAATCACAGAAAATGTCGGAAAAGTAGAAGAAACTGAAATAACAAGCCCATACAAAAACAGAACTGAAACTACATAATTCAGTGAACGGTCATAAATATTTTTTTTCTTACTTTCTAAATCCGACCTCCAATGTCGTTCACGAAAAAAAAAAAAAAAGAGAGGGAGAAAGGAAGAGAGAATCACAAACCCTAAGGAACTTCACTTTTCGAAAAGATTTTAACAGAAGAAATAACTTAAATTAGAGGGAAATGGGCTTACATATTTGTTGTCAAGAGTCTTGGATTTGTGAAAAGCCGTGGATGTCATCTGGCGAGACATCTCTGGCACTTCAAGTGTTCGTCAAAACGAAAATTGCAATTCAATTACTGGGTTTGGGAAAGTAAACCCTAGAGATGGACCATTTTAATGAGAGAAATGCAGAGAGTATGGAATTCCGGCAAGAAAGCCAGAGCTCTGACGGAAAGAAGAGAGAGAGAGAGACCAAGGCAATTGGTGGGTTTGGTTAGTAATGAAATTAAAGAATTAATAATACTTTTAACAGGGTGGAAATTATGTTCTCAACTTTTGAAGACAGTTGTCTATTCAAGTCAATTACAACTATTCTTTTTCAATGGGATTTCAGTCGATATAATTATATGCTTTTTTTCTTTTTTCTTTTTAATTCATATATTAATTTTGTGAGTAATTTAATAGGTTATGAGACACTTTATTTAAATTTTTTATGGTAGATTTAACATATATCTTAATAATAATATTTTATTTTTAGTTTTGAAATTAACTTTTAAGAGTAAACAACTTTTTCCCACCCAAGGTTTGCTTTAATGACACTTTCTCACCCAAAAAGTTTCAAAAAACTATTTGTCCACCCAAAGTTTATATACCGTTAATATCCAAAATATATTTCACTTTCTTAGCCGACATTCAACGAGTTACCAAGAGCCAGAATAAGAGGAGTTTTGTAAAGTGGAGATTGGTGGATCGAACGGTGATGACTGATTGAATATTCGCTACAGAAATTAGCTGGAAATCAACTAAGAACAAGAAACTCTTACTTTGCGTTAGTCGATAATCAATGAAAATCAAATGTCGAAATGAGAAGGGTTTTGTAGAGAGGAGACTGTAGGTTCAAATGGTGGTGACAGAGAGAATTTTCGCAACCAAAATCAGCTTTGAGTAGTAGCGGAATATAAACTTTGGCTGGGAAAGTGGTATTTTGAAACTTTTATTGTGGGAAAGTGTCATTAAGCCAAACCTTGGGTGAGAAAAGTCGTTTCTAACTTTTAAATATCATAAAAATATTGATCATGGTTTTTTATAACTAAGATTGTCTTTGAATGCGTGTATATATATATATTTTCTAGATTTGTTTATCTAAATAATAACATTAATAATATGAATAAACAAAACTTTATACCCATAAAAAAAAAATTATACAATTAAGTTTGAATTTTATATCACAAATTAATGTTCACCATATAATTATGATATGTGTACATTACAAGTTCCAAATTTGTAAACTTGATAAATAATAAGTTACACTACTATTAAATTGAACAATAAGATGAAAAAATTGAACATGAAATTGATAATATCAAAAGACAAATAGAATAAAATAATTGAAAATTGAAAATTGTTGATAACCGTAAATTATAAATGTATTTTTACCCTAAAAATTAATTTAAATGATATTTACAATTTATAATTAGTGGTTAATGATGCAAAATATATGGAGGATGGATATATTCAAGGGTGTAGAGTTATGTTTTGTGAAGAATTAGAATATGGGTTCAATAAAATTTGAAATATTTGATGAGTGTGATTATATTTATATAGATAAAAATAAACAAAGATGCATTTTAAAATTTGAAGTAGTTATAACATCTCTTTCATAAAGACTCTTTATTGGTCCTTGCCAATACAGGAACACAATGAATTGAGTAGCTAAAATAGGTGTTAATAGAGTATTATTGGTGATGACTTTTGAATGTTATTGGTCCTTTCCATGAGCAGCTAAAATAGGTGTTAATAGAGTGTTATTGGTGGTGACTTTTGAATGTTTGGTGTATTGAAATGGGGCATTTTATTAAAAGACCAAATAAAGTTCAAATTTAATTAAAAGGTCATGTAGTTTGAAAGTGTTAAGTAAATAGTCTTATTATTGGTTAAAGTTAATTAAACATGATTAGTGGTTAATTAGGATTAATGAAGTATTGTGTAATCTTTTAAAAATTATAATATATCTCCAAAAAGCCGAAATTCTTGCAAACAAATTCAAACACCTTCTTCTTCTTCCTCCTTCCATTAATGCACCTCTCCTGGTTGTTGTTTCTTTTAAGCTTCGTCTACATCTTCTTCTTCCTCCTTCCTCTACATCTTCTTCTTCTTCCTCCTTCCTCTACATCTTCTTCTTTCTCCTTCATCTACATCTTCTTCTTCCTCTGCTATTAACATCTTCTCCGCCAAAGATCCCCCTCCTCCTCTTAACGTTTCGTCTACGTATGTGTATCTCCTCTTGGCATTTTAAATTTCAATTTACAAAGATTTAATGATAGATTGGGTTTGGGTTATGACTTTAATTTAGTTGTTTAGGTTGTTGGGTTGTGTTTGATGTAGTGCAAGTTTAAAGCAGTGAAAATTTTTGAATATTTTCTTGCATTATGGGTAGCTGGGGGTGGTAGCACCAATTGTAGGTGGAGATGACTGAAAATGTGTTATGGATCTGATTGATTGCTTAAGCAATGGATCTGATTGATCGCTTAAGTAATCTTGTGTATTACTTAAGCGATCTGGTATATCTGGTTTAATGCAACAGATGGCAGATCGCTTAAGCAATCAAATTTATGGCAGAAGATCACTTAAGCGATCTACTATAAGTTTGGTATATGGCATAAGATCGCTTAAGCGATCAGACTTATTTATACCAGATCGTTTAAGTGATCTAGTAGGCGATATACCAAATTGTTTAAGCGAAACACCACATCACTTAAGCGACTTTGCAGATACTTTTTAAAATATGTCAACCCTTAATATATCAATTAATAATTTTTATTTTCTTGCATAATAGGTACTTAGCTATTATTAGACATGGGACAATTGATTTTGGGTGTTGAATATTTTAGTGAGTGGGTAGAGGAAGAAAGTTGCTAGAAATGGATTGGAAAGAGCAAACAAGTTAAAGCAATTGTTGTAAGCATAGAAGCTATTTTTGATGAGTTGATTGATGAAATCATTAGAAGAGGTGAGTTGAGTTGCTCATGTAGTGATATAGTTGTGAAGTATGTTTTAAGCAGATCTCCTACAAACTTTAAGGTACCCCATGTTGTATTAATGTCTAATGAAGATGTGAAGTTATTTATGCTTAATGTGGGCGATAATGGTTCGAGGCCAATTTTAACAGTTTCGTTTGTGGATAAAACTTTGGAAGTTGGTTCAAGAGTAAGCAGTGATTTGGGTGGGGGGAATGCTGGTTTTAATTTTAACTACAGGGGCATTGATTTCTTTGTTGAAAAATCAAGAGTAGGCAGTGATTTGGGTGGTGAGGAGGACACTATAGAAGAGATTGGTTGTGTGGGGTAGAATGAAAATATGGACGAGGAGGACTTGTACATGTTCCCGCAGATGTAGAGATTCCTATAAACACAAATTATGCAGAAAGTGTAGTTTGTGAGGAAGAGAACACAACAATCGTTTATACAAGTTCAAAGGTGACAATTGTGGGTAGTAGTGAATTAGCTCACAAGTTTACTGATTGATCGAACTTGCGTGTAGGTTATTTATTTGACAGCAAGGAAGAAGTGGTGAAGAAGCTAAAACTTGTTACCGTAAGAGGTAATTTTGGCTTCATCACCAAAAAATCTAATTCATCTGTAGTGACGGTTGTATGTCGTGACTGAAAGTGTAAATGATGGGTTTATTGTAGAAGGTTGGCAAAGTCCGAAAAATTTATTGTTAGCACATATGCCCATGAGCACACATGTGGGTTGGGAAATATTTCAAGCGAGCATCGACAAGCCTCCGCTGATGTTATTGGACAATTTGTTAAAAGTCAGTTTGTTGAAGAGAAATGTCCATCTCCTAAAGACATTCAAAGACTTGTACGCATAAAGTTGAGATGCGATGTTAGTTATTGGAAATGTTGGAAAGGGAGACAACATGCATAAGATTTTGTGAGGGGCATGCCAGAGCATAGGTACGTAGTATGAGAAGCGTACTATTATATGCTTGAGTTGACAAACCAAGGTAGCAAGACGACTTTGAAGTGGGACGAGAATATAAGGTTTAAATATTTTTTTGTTGCTTATGGTGCTGCTATAAGGGGTTTTGTAAACATGAGAAAGGTGTTGGCTGTTGATGGTTGTTTTTTGACAGGAAAGTATAGTTACATTGTTGGTGGCCACTGCACAGGACAGTGAGAATCACACATATCCTGTTTCATGGTGTGTGGTTGACTTTGAGAACGACAAGTCGTGGACCTGGTTTTTCTAGCAATTACTTATGATAGTGCGTGACAGTGACGAGTTATGCATAATATCCAATAAGCACAACTTTATAAAGAAAGGGATTGTCATTATTTACCCTCAAGCACATTACGGATTCTGTATGAGGCACTTGGCAAGAACATAAAACAAAAGTTTAAGTGTGCTGGCCTCCTTTAGACATTCTATATAGCAGCAAAAGCTTATTGAGTTGATGAGTTTGAGGAACACTTCTGGCAAATCCGAATCAAGGATGATAGAATTGCTAAGTATCTTGAGTATGATATTGGTTTCAAGCAATGGAGTAGAGCTTACTTTTCTGGAAGAAAGTTCGATGTCATGACCACAAACATAGCCGAGTCCATAAATTCGAAATTGTTAATAGAAAGAGAGTTTCCAATTGTTGCTCTTTTTGATGCAATCTAGAGGACATTGTCATGGTGGTTCTATGAGCGTCATATGGAGTCAGATAATTTTACCACAACCCTTATTCCGTCAGCTGACAAATTATTGCGACAATATACAGAACTGTCAAATGCATTATTTGCCTATCCTCTTAATGCTCAAGAGTTCACCGTGTGCAGCTATGGTCCGGATGCCCTAGTTAACCTTCTTAGTAAAACTTGTAGCTGTAAAGTGCTTGACATTCAACATTTACCTTGTCCTCATGCACTAGCAGCACTAAAACACCAACGAAAGCCAGATTTTGATTCAAGAATTTACATGGAACTTTTCTCTCCTCTCTATATGGCAAACCACTACATGCTGGCTTATTTGGAAACGATATATCTAGTTCTTTTAGAAGAGCAGTGGGTCATGCCACCAGAGTTGGTTGACATTATCATCCATCCGTCATTCAAGAAGATAGAAAATGGGAGAAAAAGAGTTAAGCATATTCCATCAGCCTGTGAGGTTCCTCAGAGGATGAATAAATGCTCAATTTGCAAGAAACCTAGCCATAAGAGAAGCAGTTGCCAGGATCGATCACATGCAGATCTAGAAAATTAGGTTCAAAT